CCCCCTTTTTTTTTTTTTTTTTTTTTTCCAAATAATTTAAATATGGTGAAAATCTGTCATAGCATTTTACTATTTTCAATCACAATTATTTTGGCTGTTCTTTTTTTGGTGGAATTACATCTTCTTTACACACGAAGAATGAAGGTATTAATTTTTTCTCTAACATAAATAAAATAGTTCATTATCCATTCTCCACATTATAGGAGAACCTTATTCTCTTAAAAAATTATCAAACACCATTCCTGCATCACTCATAGATAGAAACTTTGTTTAAAAGTTTACCAAACCGCTAATGGCAAACACACTTGACAATCAACCTGATTTCTCCACAAGGGTATATATAATTTTACTGACACCACCATCTTTGATAAAATATATTAATGTTAAAGGACAAGTGTTATCTATACAAACATTATTAAAGTGTAAGAAAGGCTGTAGAAAGCTGAAGAATGGAGCCCATATTGAGATAAATGAGATATAATTGAATTTAAGAGTAAAGGTGTTCTATTATTGAGGAATTCGAAGAAGTTGCTTAGAGTTTTCGAGATTGGTCTCCCACAGACCTCGCTAACTGATGTATACATGGATCATAAAATTGATCCCCTAAATCATCAAGCATTCTCTTAAACAACCCCCAGTTGAAAAATGCAGTAGCAAGTGGCAAATATTCTGGTGTAACTTAAAAATTGGAATGCAAGGATTAGAATCCCAACCAAGTACCAAATTTTTTATGAAGAAAATTGATGATACAAGAATGTGAAACAAACTGTTGTAGCTTCATTTTATATGGTAAACAGAAAAGCTTTCTTTCATAGGGAGACATTAGTTTCCTCCCCATGCTTTTATCAACTCTAGCTAGGCTAAAATGTACAACTCTTCTTTACGAAATTGTTCTCTACCAATCTAATCTAGCAGTAGATTTCATATTACGCTCAATTGAGAAGTCACATCAATTAATACATCCTTGCTACAGGGGATTCTGAGGCCACCCATTGGATGGTCATATCCAAATTCTTCCTCAGCTTGACTTAACAAATCTTGAAACAAAGGCTGGTTTAAGTATGATACTGGAATGACAAATCTCTTCTTTTCATCCACCCCAACATAAACAGCAAAATGACCTTTCGGAAGATCTAATGTTTTTTGGTTTCTTGTCAATGAAGACCTTCTAAGAAAATTCTTGGAATGAATATTACGAAGCATGCGGATGGCCATGGTTAAGCAGGATTTTTCTTACTTGATCAAGGAAATTTGAGGAGATTCTAGGTTGTGTAACAAGCAAAAGATGAGATTGTTGTGAAGCACTGGATGCTCTATATATATATATATAGTAATCCTTCACTTCTTAAATTTGTGGTGAAGAGGCATCTGGATGGGGACCATATAACCAGACAGAAACATTAGCATATGAGAATTCACATGGATCTGTTTTTCAATTGATACAACAAAAGTTTGTTTATGTCGAAAAATCAAATACCTAAGCATTTAAGATAAGATGGCCTACAGAGGACAATTTGAATGAAATAAATACAGATGGAGTAATTTTTCATCGAAGCAAAGACTGGCCTACACTCAGAAGCATGCTTGGAGCACCCACTCTTTTCTATCAAACTAAGGTCAGATTGAAAAATATATCTGTTCACATAAGTAGACATAAACAAAAATCAAAATTAGTAACTATTGGGATGCCAAAGCAACTTTACTAACCATTGCACCAAAATTAAACAACTTTAGATATTAAATCTTCAACAACTGATTGTGTGGTGACGAGAAATTGGGATAGGGGCAAGAGAAGCACATTGGCACAAGGGATCACATGGTTTTGTCTTTCGGTCACCACCTAATTTATAATCAAAGAACTAACTGATATATACTTAAAAACATGATTCCCTAGAAAATTGGCTACACCTTAGATTATCAAGTCAAAGTTAGATTATTAAGTCAAAGATATTAGATTGTTTTCATGGTCAGTTCATGATTCAATCGATGGACAATGCATATCAGTGCATGGATGAGACAGCTTAATTCACATATTTCTCTGGAACAAGATAGCATGTACACAGGCATACCTGATTCTCTATATAAGTTGATGTATAAATTGGCAGTAAGTAAGAAAAATCTACCAGCTGAGAACAAGGTCAGAAGCACAGTTGTTCTATAAAAGTGGTTGGCAAGTGTTGAATGCATGGACCATACATGCTATTGGGTTATTATAGAACATTTTCTAAGAATACTGAGCCGCAAAATCCTATATAGAGATTAAATCATTGGGCTTACTTGACTCTCCAGATTCCTGAAACTGCAAAAGCACACATGAGATGCAATATAATATTAACAATTTCATTTAACTCAACTTTTTAAAATAAGTCCCTGCATTATTAAGAATCATTTTCAGTTATAGAATTTCATCATAGTTCTTCATAGGAATCAATAACCCACTAGGAATTCTCTTTCAATAACTTAAACATGGAGTATCATACCATCTTCAGTCACACTTATTTTGCCTTTTGTGTGTGTGTGTGTGTGTGTGTGTGTGTGTGTGTAGAATTACCATTTCTTTATACGCGAACAATGAAAATGGGCAATTTTCTCTCAACAGAAATAACATAGTTCATTGTCCATGCTGCATATTTTAGACATAGCATAACCTGACGAAAGAGCATTCACAAAACTTCATCAATCACCATCCCTGCATCATTGGTAGATAGCAACTTCGTTTAAAAATCAACCAAACTGCTACTAGCAAACACACTAGACAATCAGCCCAATTTCTCCACATGAGAATTTATCATTATACTGAAACTAACATCTTTGACACAATATTATAATGTTAAAAAGGATGATATAAAGTGTTAAATATACAAAAACTATTGAAGTGTCTGAAAAAGAGCATGATAGTAAATGAAATTAGAGTCGGTAAATAATAATTTAAATTCTTATAAAATCAATATAATCAAAACGCATCAGTTGTCCCTAGACAAGATGTTAAGTGACATGGCATATGTCAGACATGAACTCCTGATAGCAACTGCTAATAAAAGTTCATGGTAGACGGCTTTGAAATGATTCAAAATTTTTGAAAGGTAATCTTTGCATACCACATACATTATTTAAAATTAAATCACTTAGAAACTTGATAACAAGTTTTCTCTATCTTTAATTTTTTGAAGAGTTTATTAAAATTGAGGAACATTCAATACTATGTTTCGAATTACATATTTCCCATACTTCAGGCAACTTAGACCTCAAAAGAGTTGTCTGAAATTAGAAAGACGGATATATCTTGTGTAATTAAAAATGTATACATCCATATATAAAATCAAAAGAATTAGATTTGTCTATTTTGAACAAATGAATGAGAAACAAGGTCAGCAGCACAACTGTTACATTAAATGTTCGCTCCTTGACCTTCAAAATGTTGAATCCACGACCCATACTATATGGCTATTTGAACTTTGTTCTGCAAATAGTTAGCTGCAAAAACCTATTTAAAGACTCAATCTGTGGGGATTCCTGACATTGCAAAAGCCCATACAACACAATTTGATTTAAAATTCAACTGATGAATATAATTCAATGCATTATTAACTATTGTCTTCAATTGTCTATTTTCACCACGGAGTTATTCCCAGGCATCAATAATGCCCCTCAAATTTTTCCTGTTTGTCATTCACACTTATTTAGCTTATAAGTATTCAAATTTCCCCATACAAAAGGTGGAGCTAAAACCTCATATCACCACAAAATCTCATAAATCATCAAGGATTCTCTTCAACAACTCTCAGTTGGAAATGCAGTAGCTAGTGGAAAATATTCTAAAATAATTTATTCCGAGAATCGGATCACATAGATTATAATGTTAACAGTAAACCAAATTTCCTGATTCAGAAAATCAACTATTTTAGAATGTGAAATAAAAAGTCATAATTTCATTTTTCTATGATAAAGAGAAGCTCTCATGGGAGACATTTTCTTCCCTCTACAGGCTTTTATTAACTCTATCTAAGTTAGTGCTTACAAAATTGGCTTCTACCAAACTAAGCTAGTAGCTGATGTCACATCACACTCAATTGAGCAGTGACATCAATAAATATATCCTTGCTACAGGGGATTGTGAGGCCACCCATTGGATGATCAAACCCAAATTCTTCCTCGGCTTGACTTAACAAATCTTGAAACATCGGCTTGTTCAAGTATGATATTGGAACCATATATCTTTTCTTTTCACACTCCCCAACATATACTGCAACATGACCTTTTCGAATGTCTAATGTTGTTTGGTTTCCCATTGATGAAGATCGTCGAAGGAAATTCTTAGAATGAATAATACGAGGCATGCAGACTGCCATGGTTCAGGCAGGGTTCTCCTTTTCTCTTGATTGAGGAAGTTAAGAGGAGATTCTAGGTTCTATGTAACAAGTAAAAGCTTGAGATTTTTGTTGAGATTGTTGTGAGGACTTCTGTTTGGTTGGATGCTAAGATATGTATATATAGATGAATGGCTCTCTGTGGGAATTCTTCACTTCTTAATTTTGTGGTGAAGAGGCATTTGGATCGGGACCACATTATGAGACAGAAACATAAGCATATGAAAATCCACATGGATTGCTTTTCAATCATTAAACAAAATTGAAATTAAGAAAAAGCTTGTTTATGATGAAAAACAAATTCCTCAGCATTTAAGATAAGATGGCCTACATAGGTCAATTTGGATTAAAGAAATAAGGACTGCATATGGAGTTTTTTTCATTGAAGCAAAGTCATGGCCTAATTACAGAAGCATGTTGGGGCACCTAATCTTTCCTATCAAAATAAGGCCGCATATAGAGAAATATATATACTTTCTATTTCTGTTCAAATGCAGACACAGAAGTAGACATAAACATTAATCAAAATGGGTACCTGTTGGGATGCCAAAGCAGCTTCACCAACTGTTGCACCTAAAATAAACAAGGGCAGATATTAAATCTTCAACAGCAGCTTGTATGGTGATGCACATCGGCACAAGGGATCACATGGTTTTGTCCTTCAACCAGCACCTAATATTTGTAAGCAAAGGTCTAACTGCATAGATACTTAAAAACATTATACCCCACAAATTTTGATAATAGAGACTACAACTTATATTTTTAAGTCAAAGATATTAGATTTCTTTAGATGGTTATTTCTTGAACTGATCAATGGATTATGCATATCATAGCAAGGATGAGACACCTTGATTCAAATACTTATCTGCAAAAATCCTATAAAAAAAATTTAATCATGGGGCTTACTTGCCTTTTTTAGATACCTGACGCTACAAAAGCCTGCAGGAGACACAATAATATTAATAATTTCATTTAACTCTTCAAATGTAAGCCTGCATTATTAAGGATCATTTACAATTATTTGATTTCACAATATAGTTTTTCCCAGGGATCAATAAACCACCTAAAATTTTCTTTTAAGAATATAAGCATGGTGAGCACCTATCATTGCATTATTCCAATTTCAATCACACTTATTTTTTCTGACTTTTTTGGTGGAGTTTTATTTTCTTTATACATGTAGAATGAAAATAGTCATTTTTTTTCCCCAACTGAAATAACATAGTTAGTTGTCAACTCTGCAAACTTTTCATTTAGCTTAAACCGACAAAAGAGCATTCACACAACAATGTTCTTCACTGGAACTTCATCAAACACCATCCCTGCATCATTCATAGGTAGCAACTTCATCTTACAAATCCACCAAACTGGTACTGTCAAACACACTCGACTATCAACCTGATTTCTCCACATGGGTATTGATCATTTTACTGACACCAACATCTATGACACAAGATTATGATGTTAAAGGACAACATAAGGTGTGATCTATATAAACACTATTCAAGCGTAAGAAATAAAGGGTGTGGAAAGCTGAAGAATGGAACCCATATTGAGAAAAAGGATATATAATTGAATTAAAGAGGAGGTATTTTGGGATTGGGGATTTTGAAGAAGTGGCTTAAGGCTTTGTGGGAGTGATCACCCACAGACCTCGCAAAGTGTTGAATTTATGCATCATATATTGATCTCCTAATTCATCAAGCATACTCTTTAACAAATAGTTTCATTGGCTAGATACACAAATTATATCATATATAAGAAGCCGAGTAAGTGGATTTGTCAGAATGGAAAAGAAGAAAAAAGAATATGAGAGATCAGTAGCTGGATAAAGGCATTTTGATCCTACCAGAAACAGGAAAACTAAATTCCAAGAAATCGAAAATTGATCGATTGAAAAATGCAGTTCAAGTAGCAAATATTCCAATTTAACCAAAACTTTGATTGCAGGGATGAGAATCCCAACAAAGTACCGAATTTTTGATTCAGAAGCATGACTATATAAGAATGTGAAATAAAATGTTATTTCATTTTTTTTATATGAAAAAGAAAAGAAAAAAGGTTTCCTATCATGGGGAGGCATTAGTTTCCTCCCCAAGCTTTTATCACCTCAGGCTAGTTTAAAATGTACAACTGTGCTTTACAAAATTGTTTGCAACCAGACAAGCTAGCATCTGATGTCATATTACACTCAACTGATAAGTGACATCAAGGAATACATCCATGCTACAGGGATTGTGAGGTCACCCATTGGATGATTATATCCAAATTCTTCCAATGTATTTTCTAAAAAGGCCTAGTCAAGCCCTTCAAAACTTTTTGAGGCCTAACTTACTCCAAATGAGTTTTTAAGACCTCTTTTATGTTAAATGTCTAAATTATCCTTTTCTATATTGTTGATAAGTCTTGAATGCCAATTACGTAAATGACAATAATATCCTTTCTATAACATTTTCAAGAAAAAATGAACGACGAAAAACGACTCCATTCCATTTAAACGACTAAAGTCGGTTATTCTCAAATGACTCTATTCCTTTAAAACAACTTCAGTCGTTTTATGAGAAAAACGACTTTATTTGTTATAAACGACTAAAGTCGTTTTTTATTTCATAAAAGCCTTTGGTTATGATTTGCATGGTCACGACCAACTCACGACAAATATAAAATCTATTTAGATCACAATAAAAAACATTTGTAAATTGAATATGGTTTAGAAGGTTCCTTATTTGATTAGCTTTTTGTCTTTCATTATACATAAACTTACCGAAACCAATTATTATAAGTTTGAAAGACGTGTTTTCTTTCATTATAAATGATAGTTTAACTTGTTCAAAATCAATTGTAAGTCATGTAATTAAAAATTGAATATGGTATACTAGAATTGTGTGTAGTGAAGCACAAAGGATTGTATGAAAAGATGTTCATCTTTCTAAACTTCTTTTTAAATGAAATAAGTTGAAATCTAACACAATCTGAAAGTTTAGATGTTTAACTGATATACCATCTTTCATTATACATGATGATTTAATTTATCGAACTCAAAATATAAGTCGTATACATAAAAATCGAATGCGATATATTTGAACAGTGTGTGGTGGGGTATGACGATAAAGTTCACCTTCCTATACGTTTTTACACGAAATATGTTAAAAATCAAATACGGTTTAAATGGTTACAATTTTGATTGTCACAATTTTCATTATAAAATGATGTTTTAACTTATCGAAACCAATTGTAAAAGGCATACTTAGGATTGAATACGATATACTCGAACTACATATAATTGAGCATGTTGAGTTGTAATAACAAAGTTCGTCTTCCTAGGCATCGTCCTTTCAGGATTGGCTTTGAATTTCAAGACACATTCTTTTCGCACATACGTAAAATATGTTTTGTACTAAAGAGTCTATTATTATTTAAAAATTACAAACGAACCCCAAATTAAAGGTATTAGGCTGGGAATGGAACATAAGTGCTCGAGTTAACTTTAAACCAAAACGTCCTTTTGGGATTGGCGTTGAATTTCTGTTATATGTTTATGGTATAAATATAAAATGTGAAAGAAATAATCAAATTAGATAAAGTGCCAAATTGGTGGAAAATGTGGTATTTGTGTGGGACGTCAGGGGTTCGAGTCACTCCCCATGCAGATATTAAAATGTCTTGATTGGGGCATTGGGCTCCTGGATTTCCTTGACTAAAATAAACGATTTTTTATTATTATTTAATGGGTAAAACTAGTCAGTATTTTCTGACTGTTTGTTTTTGTAACAACTCACTAACCGTTATTAAAATACCCACTACTTAGTCATTAAAATTCTGAATTAATCTCTGATCATGGTGGAGACTGTTATTTCCATTATGCCTATATGAACCCATATCTCGTTTTGGGAAAAATACACACAAAAAAGAAAATAGAAAAATCATCTTGTATCAGTCCTTCATTTTCATATTCTGAATTTCGTATACTCGAGTTTTTACATATATTTTGGAGTACAATTGAGAGTTCTGAAAAAACCATTCGTGATTGTTGCACAAATGGTTTACGATCGTTGTATCTTGGGAGTGATTGTCCACGGAGGTCGCAACAATTATCGACGGACAATTTCACTTTAGGACATCGTACTGTCACGAGACTTGATCGAACGATAAGTTTTATATTTCTGCATTATATTGTTCTGATCATTACTGCAACTAATTATTTTTCCAACAATCTAAAGTGAAATTATCTTTATAATTAGTTGCCATGTCTTCCGTAGATATATCTGTTTCTAAATATTCTGAAAAGCCTGAGTTGTTTGATGGAAAGAATTTTAAGAGATGACAAATGAAACTGCGATTTTATTTGACAACACTTAAAGTCTTGATGCTATTGAATCAGATATACCCGTTGTTGCAATTGCTGATAATCTTACTGATAGGGAAATAGATGATTTAGCTAATTGGGAACAAAAGGATTATATGTGCAGGAATTATATTCTGAATTGTTTGACGTTAGATCTATATGATGTTTACTACTCGTGTAATCTGCAAAAGAGTTATGGAATTCATTAGAAAAGAAATATGCTATAGAAGATGCTGGAACTAAGAAATTTGTTGTGGGAAAGTTTTTAGATTTTAAAATGAATGATGTTAGAACTGTGGTTAGTCAAGTTGAAGAATTGCAGATTATAATTCACGAAATTATTGCTGAAGGATATAAAATCTGTGAGGGCTTTCAAGTTTCAGTTATAATTGAAAAATTGCCACCTTCTTGGAAAGAATATAAAAATAGTTTGAAGCATAAGAGAAAAGAAATGTCCTTAAAGGATCTGATTATTAGGATTAGAATCGAGGAGGACAATAGAATGATAGAACGTAAAGAAATGCCAGACTTTGACACCTTGCAAAGGATTGCAGAAATAGAAAAGGAAAAGCTGTAACGCATCAGACACATGTGGTAGAGGATGGAAATTTCTCTGCTATGGTGACAAAAGTGAATCTAGTAAGCAACATGACAGACTAGTGGGTAGATTCTGGAGCCACTAAGCATATTTGCTGCACGAGAGATGCATTTTCTTCATTTACTCTCGCTAGTGATGGAGAATGTCTGTTCATGGAGAATGTTTCCTCCTCCAAAATTGAGGGGAAAGGAACTGTGACGCTTAGATTTACTTTTGAAAATATCCTTAATTTAAAGGATGTCCTTTATGTACCTAATATAAGGAAAAATCTAGTGTCTGGATCTATCTTAGTCAAAAAGGGTTTTAAGATTATATTTGAAAGTGGTTAAGTTGTACTGTCTAAGGGTGTTTCCTTTATTAGGAAAGGGTATGCAGATGAGAGTCTGTTTAAACTCGGGGTATCTGTGATTAACAATAAAGCATCTAGCTCTTCCGTTTACTTGTTAGATTCTTATAATTTGTGGCATTTTAGACTTGGACACGTTAATAAAACTTCCATTAAAAAATTAATGACTTTCGGAAATATTCCCAAAATCGATAATTGTCCAAATTCAAAATGTGAAACGTGTGTTGAATCTAAATATTCTAGAAAACCATTTCCACGTGTTGATAGGACTACTTCTGTTTTAAATTTGATACATTCTGATTTATGTGACTTAAAAGGATATGTTAAATATTTCTTAACTTTCATTGATGATTATTCTCGATATTGTTGTATTTATCTACTTAAGAGCAAGGATGAAAGCTATTCAAAATTTATTTTCTATAAAACTGAAGTAGAAAATCAGCTAGACAAAACTATTAAAGTTTTAAGATCTGATAGAGGAGGAGAATATACAGGAGATTTTGATAAATTTTTTGTTGAGAATGACATTATTCATGAGACTACTCCACCTTATTCTCCCCAATCTAATGATGTAATTGAAAGGAAAAATCGAACCCTTAAGGATATGGTTATATCAATGCTAAACTCTTCTAGATTACCTTTTAATATGTGGGGGGAAGCACTTCTTACTGCATGTTATATTCTTAACAGAATTCCTAGTAAGAAAAATAATAAGTCTCCTTATGAAATGTGGAAAGACAGAACACCTTCATATAAATATCTGAAAGTGTGGGGGTGTTTAGCTAAAGCTTCTATTCCAGCACCTAAGAGAACTAAACTTGGTCTGAAAACTGATGATTGTGTTTTTATAGGCTATACTTTTCATAGTAATGCCTACAGATTTTTAGTTATTGACTCTAAAAATAATTTGATTGAAAAAAACACAATATTTGAAACTAGAGATGTTGAATTTTTTGAAAATAGATTTCCATTTAAAGAAAAGTTTGAATGACCAAGCAGTTCTTTTAGTATTCCTCCTAGTGTTAGAGAGGAGCCATCTGAATTAGAAAGAGCTGAAATTAGGAGAAGCAAAAGACCTAGGACCACTACTTCTTTCGTTCCTGACTTTATAACCTACTTAGTAGAGGATGATCCTAGTACTTTTGGTGAAGCTATATTTTCACCAGATTCTATATTTTGGAAGGAAACTATAAATAGTGAATATAATTCAATTATGTCTAATAATACTTGAGAGTTAGTGGACTTACCTCAAGGATGTAAGACAATTGGGTGTAGATGGTTGTTTAAAAAAAAACTTAAACCTGATGGTTCAATTGATAAGTATAAAGCAAGACTTGTAGTTAAAGGCTATAGACAAAAAGAAGGAGTTGACTTCTTTGATACTTATTCACCCGTTACTAGGATTACCTCTATTAGGATGTTCATTGCAATTGCCTCACTGTATGATCTTATTATACATCAAATGGATGTCAAAATTGCATTTTTAAATGGAGACTTAGAAGAGGAGATTTATATGGATCAGCCTGAAGGATTTGTTGTAGAAGGCCTTGAGGATAAAGTACGTAGACTTAAAAAATCCCTTTATGGTCTTAAACAAGCTCTGAAGCAATGGCACGAAAAATTTGATACAGTTTTGACATCAAGTGGTTATGTGATAAATGAAACAGATAAATCCATATATAGCAAATTTGAAAATAATTATAGTATGATAATTTGCTTATATGTTGATGATATGCTGATTATGGGAACTAGTTTAGATGTGGTTAATAAAACTAAATAGTTTCTGAACAAGCACTTTGAAATGAAAGATATGGGTGTTGCTG